ATTTATTTCCCCATTATATTTCAGCTAGTGATTAATTCTGTACCAGCCCAAGCAACGATTAAAGCCCGTTACTTGTGGCACCCTATTACCTGTGTCTAAGTGACCTTGACCCCTGGAATTTTTCATCTCCATCTGTAGCTACCCGAGTACTTTCGACGCCGTTTCGAAAGTTCGTGGAGTAAACCATCACCAAAAATCTGGCGCTCGAGAACCGCCCGTAACCAGCGTCATTCGTAAGGAATCGTTTTCTCTGTGGCGAGAAAACCCCATACAGATGGTACCTAATTTGTGTAGAGTTTTAAAAATACAGAGTAATATATTTGATTTCAATTTTGTAAAAACCGATTTATAATATTGTAGTCGCCATTATAAAAATTTACTGTAATAAAATCAAGATGGTGCCATTAAATATTATTACATTATTTTATTTATTGATCCGCGTACTATTTAAATGTGCATTAACATTTATTAAAATCCGATATACAGGGTGATATTCTAGCTAAGAAGGGCAATATAAAAAAAAGAGAATCCGATCCTGGAATTTTTTAAAATTAAATTATGATTTTGTTAACCTAAAAAAGTGTAACTTTTACACAAAATTTTATCAAAATAACTCTAGCCGTTCAAACAAAATGGTCAATTTTAATTTTGGAAAAAAAAAATCAAGTTATAGTCGAGCAAATTCTACGAGATGAAAGGTGCCGCCGCGGACTTTTCTAGCTCGTTATTTATGATAAGCTGTGCTCAGACCTTGCGAAAATTTTCAGTCGCAATATCAATTGTTCTCTATACTCTGTGACTCATTCAGTTCCTGATGTTGACTCATAACATTTCTACTCATTTCTGAACATCAGGAACTGCTAAGTTACCAGCTCTTGTAGTTAACCAACCGTTGTTTGACTCTGCTGTTCAGGAAAAGACACGCTAACCGGTACCTCAGAAAATTTTTGGTTCTAAATATTTTTAAATTCGGTGATAATATAATGTAATGATTTATTTATAGTTTATTTATTTAAAACACACTATTTACAATTTATTTAAGACGTACTAATTAATTTATATAATACTTAGACACTAACTCACAATTCTAATTTATTTATTACCATTTATGTGTTCAGTCCAATACTCTATACTAAACTAAACTGTGCGCCGATGAGCCGGGCTATTTATACCAAGTCCAACTCTGCTACGAGAAGTCTAGCAGTTTCTAGTGCGTCAGCGGCATTCCAGGGGACCTATTTTCAAACCGTGTGAGTACTCATTTCTCTCAAGATTCTCATCAGAAATGTCATACGTCAATGTAAAAACGCTGTTTTTAAAGGCCTCGAGGATTAAAATTCTTAGGAGGATATTAATTATCTCTAAATAAACCGTGAGAAACAATCAGTGAGTTTACACTGGCCCTTAGAACCCTAAAAATACTGTTTTACGTTGACGTATGACATTTCTCTCGAGAGAAATGAATTCTCTCGACTTTGAAAATAGCACCCCTGGGGCCCTATTCTCCAAGTTGAACGATGTGAACATATTCCACTGTGGGATGTGAAGCACAAAGCACATAGAGGTTCCACGTGAATGACCAAGGTCAAAACCGACAACTGACATTTTTATGCTATTTGCTCCAAACTCTAGATGGGGCTACTGGTGAAATTATGATTTCTTACTCCATTTTTAAGCCTTATGGGAGAAAAACTTAACCAAAGACTCCAAAGATGTGACGTGTATTTATTTATGTTCTTGGTTAGTTTCATTTTTCCGTCTAATTTTAGTGATTTTTTGTTGGCTTTGGCTTTTGGTTTCTGTTTATAGTTTCGTCTTAGTTATTTGCAAAATTGTGATGTTTCGCCTTTTTATTTCCTATTGTGTTTTGCAATAATTTTGGTGCTACGTTGAAAACTTCGAGAAAAACTTCATTGATTCACCATATATTCACTATGCATCTGCATCATAAAAAGACAAACGGGGACAACAACTAATTGATAATCAATTTATCACTGGACTAGATTCCGAAATCATTTTTCACATAAGAGAGTAATACCACCATCTGTATTTGGAAGGAAAATACCTATTTATCATTGAATGAATAGTTAAAAGGATTCACCTTTTAATACAATACCTATATTACATTTGTCCTCAGTTAAAAAGACATTTATAAAATATATAACTTTAGTGTTAATAAAATGTAATATCCTAGTCTCTACTTCACATTTAAATTATTGATAGGTATTTTAAAGATTTGAGATTATATATCTATTTGCTCCAAGTAAGTATTTGTTAAATATGTATTATTATTTGTATTTATTTTTATCCAATAATATTTATGTAAGTTATTAATAAACATATTTTAAGAATGTTCTATTTTATTATTTATTGATATATCTTATATTTATTTAATAAAAATATGCAGAACCAACTCTCCACATTAGACCCCTTATAACAAATTAATTCTTCAAATTTGGTATAATCGACCTAAATTATTTTGTAAAATAAAAGTTTCGAACTTACTAGTTCCATACTTTATTTTATAAAATAATTTATGTGGAAATCATTTAAAATTTAATTTAAAACTACTACCTACTCCTAAAAATTACAATTTGAATTTACCGCCATCTGTCAATTGTCATTTTAGTTCCAGCTCCAAACACAAGGTGGCGCTAATTTGGTTTAAAAGTTTAACATTGGCGTGGGGTCTCTAGAAGATACATGCTTTGTGATGTGAAGTGTCCTATCACCAATTTATTCTCTTGGTCATTGTATTCGGTATTCTTGAATCATTCACATCTCATAGGTTCACGGAGCACCGTTGCCAAATTTAAGTTGTGTGTTAGAACTATTTTAGAAGGCACTTTACTTCACTTTTTTATTATTTTTTGACAAATTGTAATAACATATTATATTTTCCCGTATTTTATATTAAATTCCGTGCCAAAGGTTTACTTAGATGAACATTTTTTATGAATATTCGGTCACTAAAGTCAGAAGGATCCTCTTTTTTAAAAAAAAAGTCTATTTGGTCGATTGGCATCTTCTTCCGCTTCAGCTAGATCATTCAAAATATGAATATAAATAAGAGTTTCGTCCAAATCCATTTTAATTAAAAAAAGTGACGTTTTGATAGCGCACGACAATGACAGTTCTCTCAATGTTCTCCCGAAATGATGCTCTTCTACTGGTTTTGACTAAGAGAAGTATGTTCTCTCGATTTTCATGCGAAGTGATCATTCACTTCAATTCAAGAATACCACTCACACACTTTTTAAGAGAACGGCTGTCCAGTTCGCATGAAATGATCATTCTCTCAACTGGAGAATAGGCCCCCTGGGAGATTCCGTCGTTTCGAGCATGAGTCGGGTGCTAAGTTGCTTTAGACAGGGTCGGCTTAGGAATTTCATGACCATAATGAAATAATAATTAAAAATAAAATATATTGTTGTTTTTTGTTTATTATATATGATTTATACGGTGCGATTTATGTTGATTATAAAGAAATTATGAAAATTATTTATACGAGGTGATTTATGTAGATTATAAGTAGAGTAACTGAAGTATCTGTGAAAAAATGTTTGTCATTTTTGAACTAACATTGATATTGTTTTTGCTAGCTTTTTCATTATCATGAACGAAACATTAGTTATTAGGATGTTGTAGCGAATTTCCTCGATTATATATTTATACTTTTAATTTTTGCAATAAATTTAAAAATCAAAGTATTTTTGAATACAGAATGAAGAGACCTTTCAAGAAAGGTATCACACGCTCCTACTTCCTGTGTCATGAAAAGCATAAATACATTTAAAGTTTACCTTCTGCAACTTTCGACCGACTTCTTCACGGTAATTCGTTGTGACAAGTACCTATATACACTTTAATCAATTTTATTTTTATGTACAATATTTTTTTATTCATAAAACAATATTTAACGCTTGCGTACAGTTTCGTTATCTATAAATCAAGATTTTCAGAAATGAAAAGCGGGAGGTTTTAAATTTTGAAGAAAAAAACATTTATTTTAATTAAATACCTATTAAATATGCAAAGATATTATTCTTGCATTAAAACAAAAACAAATTTCAATACCCGATTAATAAAACATTTTTAACAAGTCAACATACAAGTAGGTACCTACCTATTCTTAATTTTGGTATCATTTTTGGTAATTTTCCTGTCACAACTGTGCATTTGTATAAACAAACACTAAACAAAAATTAACAATGGGTTGGTTTACATTTGAACTAAAACATATAATTCCAGCTCTGTGGGTTTTTTCTGTAAACAAACAGAAGAGAAGCAATAAATTATTTTTAAGTATTCTTTGCACTTACTTTTTCCTTCCTTTTGCAAATTTTTTTCAAATTCTTGGCAAGTTTCAGTATAATTAAATTTTGTTTCTATAGAAAGAGAATTTCTTTCTTTCCTCCAGGCTACAAACATTAGACTAAAAATGCTCTCACTCATCGCGTTTGAGTGAGGAAGAGAAAAATCATAAGAATAAATTTTGAAAAAATTTGAAGATAAACCAATTGCTGGTCAATTTTAATGTCTTTAAAATTTAGTGGTGGGTTTTCCAAATATGATGACAACTTTACAAATTCTTCTAATAGTAGGTCAATATCTACACTAATAGGCAAACTCATCAGAAAATTTTATGAAATCGTCCAATTTAGGGTTTGTTTTCAAATCCATCGCCCCCAGACATATAAAAGATGCCGCTTGTAGAGATTACGACGTTTGTAGATATGGGCGGGATGACCGATAATTTGATAGTATATCGTTAGCATATTATCTATTCAATGTAAATTCGGGGTAAATTAGGAGATTTCTGCAAAATCGGGAGGTTTATAGCTTAATTTAAAAAGCGGGAGTGTGAGAAATCGGGAGGCTCCCGCCTAAATCGGGAGGTATGGCAGCCCTAATCAAGAGATCATTCAAATTGTCATAGCCGCTGGTGAGTGAATAAAAAAAACTGTTCTTAATGTAATGTTTATTCTCATGTTTTATTATCATTGCGAAATCTTGGAAGTAGTCCTGCTAATCCCAGTTAAATACGTCCCTGACCTACAATTAAAATTACGTTAGGAAAAATATTTAGTTTATGTAAAAGTATGATTTAATAGTTGATTTAATATTTGATAAGAAGCATTCATCATGTACTTGATTAATGGCTGATAATCATACTTGATTCTTGATTCACTTGGATGATGTTATATAACAAATAAAAATATTTTTTCCACGATGAAGTTACCTCACCTTGGTTACCCGAAGAGCTATGCAATATTATTTGATTATCCCTATACCATAATTTTTTTAAATATTTTCTTTATTTGCTCCAATCATGATTCTTTACTATATAATACCATCCATTTCATTTAGGGCTAAACATATCTAGTTGAAATAAATTTATCATATCATGTTAATGCTTTTGTAATATTTTGGTAAATTTTTGTTTAAAAGTATTGAAGCAAATACTGATATAGTAATCCATTCAACCTATTAATTCGTGATCTATTGAATATAACTATCATTTGACGATACGTTGAGCACATAAACTTATACAATTAGATATTATTAATAGTTCCGATACCACTCGTATTATTTTATTCTTTGATGATTTTTACACTGTGTTAACCAAGAACATACAACTTTTTTAAATATTCGTTATTTTTTTAACAACATTCCAATTATTAAAAACGGCTATTTTTTCCACTTAAAACAGGCAAAAGTTCAGAATTACAGATTAAATCTGGATTTGATTTGCATTCTTGCTGGAGGTAGTCATTTTCAACAGTTCTTGTAGATTAAGTAACATTTACATGTATTTTTTGGTAATAAAATGATGTTATTGTCTAAAATTTTGTTCGCCCTGTATCTCCTTAACAAAACGGATTTTCAAAAATCATAAAAGGACAAAATATTCATAGTCCAAGGAACAACCCCTTGAATTTTTGCCGAATATTTAAAAAACACCCTGTATATAATTATAATACTCTACTAACTTGCTAAGTGGAGCATTTCCATTAATGCTCTTCAAAAGGCTTTTCAAATGTATAGTGCCGGTGTCTTTTGAGATACTCGGTTTTCTATTAACGGCAACGGTAAGCTTCGATTTTAATGAGTGTTTTATCTCCCTACAAAAAAAATGAAAGTAATTTCATTTCATGGTATCATTAGTATTACATTTGATTGGTTTTAATCATATCTGTTAAGGTGTTAAGTATGTGGAAAGGTTTTTCCATAGAAATAATATAGAAGTCCAATATAAATGGAATATTTAAGCAGAAACCTACTGTGCACAAAAACGCGTCTTTGCGCAGGACATCGCAGATTAGTGTATCTATAAGCACGCGCAGTATGTATGACTTGTACCTGTAGTGTTGTCAGGTATATTAATCAAATCTGACATAAAATAATTTTAAATTAATGATTTAAACAGTTTATATCTATGAAATATCGCCATAAAATAACTTATAAACATTTAAATAATTAACTGATAATATTTATGTGCAATTACATGCAGTGGCGGTTTGCCCGTAAGGGCACTTGGGCACGTGCCATAGTATAATAAACAAAACAAAAATAAATTACATATTTTATATTTTCCTTAATGCCTATTATTATTTTATCTAATATTCAGCGCAAACCGCGTTGACACGATACTGGATGACCGGGCGTTGAGCGACATTCCGAGAATTCCGAAAGAAGATGGGCACAGGGCACAGTAAATAAGTGCCTCTATTGTTTTTTCTCTCATTATGATGCGAAAAACAAGGACAACGACAATATCACTTAGCAAGAGATGAAAACATGCGATGGATTATACGTCACAAGCAGGGCGCTGTCCTCAGCGTGACGTGCTTTACCCATAGCACAGATTACCTAGACCAGGTATGAATGTACGCAGAGGCATCTTTACCGGCCCCCTCACAAAGGCGAAGCCGGTTTCGGCTTAATGTGCGCGTTTGTTGGACCATGATAATAATTAATTTATTGTGATTACGAAAAAATGTTAGTTGGACAATTTGGAATAGTTAAGAAATAAAACTACAAAGAAAAATAACTTTTTTTTTATAAAGCAGTCAAAAATATGATGAAAAAAAATCAATAATATTTATAAATGGGACAAAAATTTTATTTTTCTTTTGGTTTTGTCTGACTTTTTCGAGGATTTCAAATCTCTGTTTGCACATTTAGGAGTATAAAAAATTCTGAGTCTTATAAATAATTTAATGGTGTACATTTTCGCAAATTGTTGGCAAGGTATTCGTTGGAAATGCCAGGTTTAGTTGACAAACTATCAAATAGAGATATAAATATTTTTTCTAATTTGAAAATATAAAAGAGAAATTTTTCGCTGAAAGATTTTAAATTGCCAAACACCTTTTCTTCAGAGTCGTATGCTTTAAAATGCGTTAACAAGTTAGAATTATTAAGTAAATTGCATCCTTCTGAGAAATTTACGCAATTTCGCAAGAGTGGATATGTAATGATTTTTTGATTAAATAGTCACATACATAGTTAAATGCATTTTGAGTGGTCACATTTAGCTCCCTGTAGTCTTATTCAGAAATCGTTATTGCCCCAACTGATTGTTTTGAAATATATTTAATTTTCATTAAGCGGATAACTTGTTTTCCTAATGAAAAAAACGAATCCCGGGATTCCTTTCCAGTGTGTGTCCCACTGCCGCTAGTGCCCACGAGCCGCTACTGATTACATGTACAAAAATATATTAAAACATGTTCACCATGCAATCACCTAGATTTAATATTAACTTGGCAACAGCACTCAAATCGGGAGTGCCAAGGCTATTATGACGCTTACATTTCCTGTTTCCTTTTTTTTTTAAATCTTTTTGAATATTTTTTTATTATTAGTTTAACGTTTATTTAATTTATTTATAGTTTATTTAAAAATAGTTTATTTATAATTTATTTATAACGTACTAATTAATGTATATAATACTTAGGCACTAACTCAAAGTTCTAATTTATTTAATAAAATTTGTCTTTACTGTCTAACACTTAAATTGAATCTTCTTGTGCGTCTTGGCTTTCCAGAACGATCGGGAACTGCCTATGTATGACTCATGCGCCGCAAAGGAATCACTCCGGCAGCTTCTCCAAGCGATATGCATAGGAGTTCGTAAATGTTGATCAACCTGGAATTTCTTCTGACAAGTGATCTGTAACAATTAATAAACGATATATAATAGAATTTAACTAAATGTAAATACAACTTTAACAAAAAAAACTATAAATTCCCAATTCACTACGTACAAGGTGAGCAAATTTCGATGTTTGTATAGGGTAACTCGGTAACTACAGGAGATACGAATCTGGGGAAAAAATCTGAAAAAAACCCCTGTACCTAAACAGTACCCATTAAAATTTAAATTCATATTTTTGTGAGAAGTTTACTTCCATATGAACTCCTTAACAACATATCTGGCAACACTGAGACTAGAAAACATAAAAAACTATAATATAAATAATATAATATAAAAAACGTTGTAGAATGACGTAAAAATCCTTGAAATACGTATAAATGAAGAAACGTTATAAAAACATAAATAAACTAGAAAATCATTAGAAAAACACGTCAAATAATAAAAAAAAGGGGTCGAGAATTTGACATCCATTTTTTTTGTATATCTTATAGTTACCGAGTTACCCTGTACAAACATCTAAATTTGCCCACCCTGTACACTAAAATTGTGGATAAAGTTAAATAAATAATTTAGAAATCAACTTACCCTCTTCTCGCAAACAGTACAAAACATGTGTTCGGAATCAATTATTTTTAAATCAGTGTTACCCACAATCTACTTTTTTAATAAAATTCTTTTATCGGACGCTTGTTTTGGCATGTTTACACAACTTTGGTCTTTACACTTCAAACTCAAATTACGATATAAAATCAATTGAGTTAAATACTTTGAAATGAGGATTTTCGTAAAAATGCATAAGTTTACTAGTAGGTATTTTTGAAAGACCCATTATAAGCTTATATTTAATAGTTCTCATAATGAGCAGTGGGGTATGGTTAACGTTTTTATTTGATTATTTGTTATTAAGTTTACCGCATTTTAATTATTTATTAGCAAAATATATTGAAAAATGCAAAATTTTATTTTGCAAATGCATTTTAAAAGTTTGGGGGAAATATGCATGCATGCACTTTACATGCATTTTGCATATTTTCTAGGCTCTATTAATAACGTTACATTAGATTTAAAAAAATATATATTATTTTCCGATATTTGTGACAAGTTTTTATACACGGACAATAAAATTGCTGAAATATATAATGTGATTTATTCGTGAATCACCCTATAACAGTAAAATATTTTGAACTGTCTCTTTTTATGGACGTCAGACCAAAACTTATATTATACTTATGTTACATATCATAATATCAGATTTAAAATTCACATCTCATAAAAAGGTGGTAAAAGCATTATATACTAAAAAAATGGTTACATTTTGCCAGGGTAAATTTAAGAATACAGGGTTCGTGGTTTTTGTACTTTTCTTAAAATGAAATATCTTCGAAAAAAAAAAATCACTTTACATATATACAGGATGTTAAAAAAAAGTGTCACAAATAAAACGGGGGGTAGTATGGGCCAAAATATGCAGAAAAGTCTTAATAAACATATGTCCGCAAATGAATGGTTTCAGAGATACGGAGTGTTTTGTGTTTTGTATCATTTTTTGATTCTCAAAAACTTGCTTTTCTTATCGGAGTCTACCGATGTTTTTTCATAGATACTATTTGCAGTTATTATTTTGTTGTGGGTGAATAATTTTATAAATTTTCGTTATGCCTGTTTACACTAATATTGAATTAGCTGACATGCATTTTATGTACGGTCGTGCAAATGGCAATGCGAGGGAAGCGCTACGTCAGTATTTGAACATCTCATTTAACTCTATGTTGTTATTGATTGTTTATAAATATCATTGTTTTTTTATAATAATAAAAAATTGTTATAAACACAAAATAGTCCGTATCTCCGAAACCGTTAATTTGCGGTCATATATTTATTAAGACTTTTCTGCTTATTTTGGGTCATACTATTCACCATTTCATTTTGTGACACTTTTTTTTAACACCCTGTATATATATATATATATATATATATATATATATATATATATATATATATATATATACATATATTTTGAAGCATAGAGGTACACATATTTAAGTGGTATTACCTTTGCAAAAAATCAATTAATATGTAGGTACAGGGTTAAGAATTAATTCTTGAAAAAAATAATTTTATGTTGTGGATCTCTCTATGAAATACCCTGTATGAGAAATGTGTATTGTACAACCTTTTATTTTATAAAAATATGCTTCCCTGGCGTTATAGCAAAATTAGTCATACATTGAATCACCCTGTAACATACAATATTTTTAATTGTACATAGATACTAATGTAATAATAAAATATTAAGTAAACGTGTGTACGCAACAGAAATTCAATCTAGCTCGTAATTTTGAAAATAAAAATTACGAAAATCTAATCAATTTTCAACTTTAACACCCCGTATATCGAAGACCAGTCATAGGATTGAGTTGAGCCTATTAACACTTTTGGTCACTAAGTTGAGTACAATAACATACCAAAGTTTCAGAAAATTTTACCGGTCGATCGTCACTTTACATAAGGAAAGTGCGGGAATCATTTGGGTAATGGATGTGTAAGTTTCACAACTACAGATGAAATGAAATTCACATCTTTAAAAATGTATAGACTAAAACAATTGAATATTTAAAATCAGAAAGCATTACAAAAAGAAATTATTTTTGAAACAAGAAAAGTTTAAGTGTTATTTTTTTTATATGTTTATTCATTAAAATTATTATCAAATTACCCTAACCCCATAAACTCTTAAATTAACCAACCTTCGATAACGTCATTCTAGTAAGATCAGTTTTTACGATAAAATAATGAAAAAAAAAAAAAACTATAATTTCTACACCATGGTACAACAATTTAATTTTGGTTATCTGGCAACACTGATGATGGAACACTCGTATAGGAGCACTATCTTGAGTTTGAGAATAGGGTACCTGGGAGCCTATTCTCCAACTATGGGAAAATGAATTGGCCTTGATACGCATGCCACTCAACTACAATTATTATAAGAAATCATGTCAACAGCGAGAACAGTGTTGTAAGACGTACCATAATTATCGTATTTGTATAAAATATACTGAAAAATTGTCCAATTTTTCGGAATTTTTATTTTCCAACTTACGAGCTAGATTGAATTTCTGTTGCATACACACGTTTAATGCTTTTAATATTTTTGTAATATATTATGACATGCGTACAATTAAAAATATTTTTAATTACAGGGTGATTCACAAATGTGACGGTAGTTTTTTTGCAAAATCTCACTAATTCTAGTATTACGTGAGGGAAGCATTTTTTCAAAAAGTACTACTCGATATGGTATTTTGTCGACCACATATTGCACAATACACATTTCTTATACAGGGTATTTTATAGTGAGAACCACAAAATAATTTTTTTTAGGGATTACTTCAAAACCCTGTACTATAAATTAATTTTTGGGGAAAGTGATATCACTAAAATATGCGCCCCTCTAAGCTTCAAAATATACAAGGCGGCTTATTTGTTAAAAGATATTCTATTTTAATAAAAGTACAAAAACAAATTAAACTTTCCCAGATCAAATGAAACCATTTTCTCGGAATATAATAATTTTAACACCGTTTTAAAAGTTATATATTTTAAATCCAATACTATGACCAGTTTTCGAGATACATGGCGTTAAAGTAGAGAATTGTTGAATTTAGTTTATTTTTTCTTTAATCTGAAAAGCTAGATTTATTTATATAGAATACTAGCTGTTGCCCGCGGCTTTGCTTGAGACTTTGCTTGCATGTAGTCGTGTTATTAATATAAAAAAATACATGACTCCCTTTATTAATTTTTATTAGTTTTATTGATTTTCATTTATTTTTATTTATTTTTTTTATATTTATCTTTATTCACTTTTATTCATTTTTATTCATTTTTATTCATTTTTATTCGTTTTTATTCGTTTTTATTCGTTTTTATTCGTTTTTATTCGTTTTTATTCGTTTTTATTCGTTTTTATTCGTTTTTATTCGTTTTTATTCGTTTTTATTCGTTTTTATTCGTTTTTATTCGTTTTTATTCGTTTTTATTCGTTTTTATTCGTTTTTATTCGTTTTTATTCGTTTTTATTCGTTTTTATTCGTTTTTATTCGTTTTTATTTGTTTTTATTCGTTTTTATTCGTTTTTATTCGTTTTTATTCGTTTTTATTCGTTTTTATTCGTTTTTATTCGTTTTTATTCGTTTTTATTCGTTTTTATTCGTTTTTATTCGTTTTTATTCGTTTCTATTCGTTTTTATTCGTTTTTATTAGTTTTTATTAGTTTTTATTCGGTTTTATTCGTTTTTATTCGTTTTTATTCGTTTTTATTCGTTTTTATTCGTTTTTATTCGTTTTTATTCGTTTTTATTCGTTTTTATTCGTTTTTATTCGTTTTTATTCGTTTTTATTCGTTTTTATTCGTTTTTATTCGTTTTTATTCGTTTTTATTCGTTTTTATTCGTTTTTATTCGTTTTTATTCGTTTTTATTCGTTTTTATTCGTTTTTATTCGTTTTTATTCGTTTTTATTCGTTTTTATTCGTTTTTATTCGTTTTTTATTCGTTTTTATTCGTTTTTATTCGTTTTTATTCGTTTTTATTCGTTTTTATTCGTTTTTATTCGTTTTTATTCGTTTTTATTCGTTTTTATTCGTTTTTATTCGTTTTTATTCGTTTTTATTCGTTTTTATTCGTTTTTATTCGTTTTTATTCGTTTTTATTCGTTTTTATTCGTTTTTATTCGTTTTTATTCGTTTTTATTCGTTTTTATTCGTTTTTATTCGTTTTTATTCGTTTTTATTCGTTTTTATTCGTTTTTATTCGTTTTTATTCGTTTTTATTCGTTTTTATTCGTTTTTATTCGTTTTTATTCGTTTTTATTCGTTTTTATTCGTTTTTATTCGTTTTTATTCGTTTTTATTCGTTTTTATTCGTTTTTATTCGTTTTTATTCGTTTTTATTCGTTTTTATTCGTTTTTATTCGTTTTTATTCGTTTTTATTCGTTTTTATTCGTTTTTATTCGTTTTTATTCGTTTTTATTCGTTTTTATTCGTTTTTATTCGTTTTTATTCGTTTTTATTCGTTTTTATTCGTTTTTATTCGTTTTTATTCGTTTTTATTCGTTTTTATTCGTTTTTATTCGTTTTTATTCGTTTTTATTCGTTTTTATTCGTTTTTATTCGTTTTTATTCGTTTTTATTCGTTTTTATTCGTTTTTATTCGTTTTTATTCGTTTTTATTCGTTTTTATTCGTTTTTATTCGTTTTTATTCGTTTTTATTCATTTTTATTTATTTTTATTTATTTTTATTTATTTTTATTTATTTTTATTTATTTTTATTTATTTTTATTTATTTTTATTTATTTTTATTTATTTTTATTTATTTTTATTCATTTTTATTTATTTTTATTTATTTTTATTTATTTTTATTTATTTATATTTATTTTTATTCATTTTTATTTATTTTTAATTATTTTTATTCATTTTTATTCATTTTTATTCATTTTTATACATTTTTATTTATTTTTTATTCACTTTTATTAATTTTTATCAATTTTTATCAATTTTTATTAATTTTTATTAATTTTTATTAATTTTTATTAATTTTTATTAATTTTTATTAATTTTTATTAATTTTTATTAATTTTTATTAATTTTTATTAATTTTTATTAATTTTTATTAATTTTTATTAATTTTTATTAATTTTTATTAATTTTTATTAATTTTTATTAATTTTTATTAATTTTTATTAATTTTTATTAATTTTTATTAATTTTTATTAATTTTTATTAATTATGATTTTTTTTTAATTTTTATTAATTTTTATTAATTTTTATTAATTTTTAATAATTTTTAATATTATTTATTAATTTTTAATAAATTTTATTAATTTTTATTAATTTTTATTAACTTTTATTAATTTTTATTAATTTTTAATAATTTTTATTAATTTTTATTAATTTTTATTAATTTTCATTAATTTTTATTAATTTTTATTAATTTTTATTAATTTTTATTAATTTTTATTAATTTTTATTAATTTTTTATTAATTTTTATTAATTTTTATTAATTTTTAATAATTTTTATTAATTTTTATTAATTTTTATTAATTTTTATTAATTTTTAATAATTTTTATAAATTTCTATTAATTTTTATTATTTTAATTTATTTTAATTTATTTTTATTTATTTTAATTTATTTTAATTTATTTTAATTTATTTTAATTTATTTTAATTTATTTTAATTTATTTTAATTTATTTTAATTTATTTTAATTTATTTTAATTTATTTTAATTTATTTTAATTTATTTTAATTTATTTTAATTTATTTTAATTTATTTTAATTTATTTTAATTTATTTTAATTTATTTTAATTTATTTTAATTTATTTTAATTTATTTTAATTTATGTATTTTAATTTATTTTAATTTATTTTAATTTATTTTAATTTATTTTAATTTATTTTAATTTATTTTAATTTATTTTAATTTATTTATCCCCCCCCTTAAAATGTAAAAATCTAAAAACCATGAAAGACTTCATTATTTATTTATGATGAGAACCTACAATTTCAATTTTCAAGTTCTTACCTTTAAAAAAATCAATACTTCTAAAATGTTCATCCCTGGTTCCTCCTCCCCCTTAAAATGTGAAAATTCAAAAACCCTGAAACACGTCATTAATAATTTGTACTCAGTAACTGCAATTCCAATTTTTATGTTTCTAACTTTAAAGAGAACCAAAAACATGGATACCCCCCCATTTCCCCCCTTTAAAATGTGAAAATCCAAAAACCCTGAAACACTTCATTAATAATTTGTAGTCAGTAGCTGCAATTCCAATTTTCATGTTTCTAACTTCGACAAAAAAAATCGATAGTCCCATACAAACTTTCACCCCCGTTTTACCCACCTTAAAATGTGAAAATCCAATAACCCTAGAATACCTCATTATTTATTTATGCTTAGTAGCTGTAATTTAAATTTTTATGTTTCTGACTTTAAACAACAAAGAGTTTCATTAAAAGCTCTCTCCCCCATGTCCTCCCTTTAAAGTTAAAATTTCCAAAAATCCTTTCTTAGCGGATGCTTACGTTATAAAATAAACCTATGTTCCAAATTTCAGCTTTCTTTAAGCTCAGTAGTTTTGGCTGTACGTTGATAGGTCAGTCAGTCAGTCAGGACAAACAATTTTATATACATAGATATAAATTGAATTTGGTTTTGGGCAGATGTCCAATACAAGGCACAGTTTAAAACAGTTGCGGCTCGTGGCCAAAATATTGGTGGTTCACAATGACAGAATATAGATATATATCAGTACAGATGTAGGTAAAAAACTTTCAGTGTTTTACTATACATCACATCTATTGCCACCCTTATACTTACTGGTTAACATGTCCAATTTCAACCTTAGTTGATAATGGAACTGTAGGCAAGTTGGCATCTAATACACTGGTCGATCGCGGACATGTTTCAGTACTGATTACTTGACGATCGCAGTGGGACTTTCTTCTTGTTGCTTGTGATATATTTTTTGATTTCTAAAAAATTATTAGTTAAAGTTAGTAACCATAGTGGAATGTCGGATATAATTAAATCACAAGTTTACTCAGCATTTTAATGAATTTTAGATTTTAGTACTATCCCTTAGATGGATTGCATACTGTCACTGTAAAAAAATCATGTATCATCCTTTCCTACAGTAATTGTTCCTATTGGAAAGTAGAAATCTCCAGACAGTTGGTATTTGTAAACGAAAAAAGTGTATTCGCTAGTTTGCACACATGGAGTGTATAGGTAAGGAGAACTCTTTAGTTTTTCTATGAGAAGAACTATCTCTGTTTACAAAAAGTATCACTAAAAATGTAGAAATTAAGATTGGGTTACTGTACCAAAGGAACCCCGAAAGCTGTAACAGTCGATAATTCAGATCGATCACACAATTACACCAATTATACATAATTGGCGGTTTCTCCATTGGTTCATTTGTGTAGTGAACACCCAGTTAAGTTTCACAAAAACATTATTTTAAAATCACTTAAATGAAAATATAAGTTCAATTTTAATATATTTATTATTCTCGTACGTGTTAGTCTCTACTTTTTTGTACCACTGTATGTTGATTGAACGCGAGAGGTTTCCGACAATGTCAGTAGTAAAAAGAGAGCTCAATAGATCCGTGAAACAAATAGGGTGTCTGCTTGACCACTTTATTTTTAGCATCATTTTGTGCATCGCACGTAGATTACGTCATGACAATTAACTTCGCTTGGTCCAAGGATTAGTCGCTGTGCTTAGTCAAGGTCACTCTGACTGTGGGTTTTTATTTCAATGTTGCCAGATTTTTGCTTTTTTGGTAGATTTTCAGCTTTTTTGGCTAGTTTTAGTAGACAATTTTCTTTTGGTAAATTTTAGTAGATTTCTATAAATTAATAAAAAAATTCTTTCGATTCTTTCGATTCTTTCGATTCTTTCGATTCTTTCGATTCTTTCGATTCTTTCGATTCTTTCGATTCTTTCAATTCTTTCGATTCTTTCGATTAAAGTTTTACAAATGATATAATTATTGGAAAAAATTGAACCCCCAAAAATTGGGCCTTGAAAACTATGGAATATAGAGAAACGATTAAATGGGAAAAATTTTATACGAATATATTTGCAATTTAAAGCCGTTTAATACGCGATCTTTTTGTTTTTGAGATATTTATAAAAAACAAAAAGTTGCATTTGCTGCAGCTTTTTTATTGTTCACTATTTTGGAAATCTGAAAAAAATTTTGGAGTAACTTTTTCTGTAGATTTCAGTTTTGCAATTGGATTTTGAACACGACGTTTCAGTTATTTTATACCATCATCAGGTTCATATTTTTCTTATGAATGCTATATTAGGCATTTTCGAAAACCTACTATAAATAACAAATTCAGATTGATAACAAACCCGATGGATCACGTGGATTACTGAACTTAGTGCCGAGAGTTTACGAACAAGTTGGATTATCGATCCTGTTTATCTACGGCTGTCAATCTTTGACTTTTCCCTCTTATTTGTTAAAGAACCATTTTAATTAAACTTACTTGTAGTCTGAATAATAAAGACGCAATATGGGCATAAAGATTACAAGTTATAACTAATTGAATGTAGAAACAACTTCAAATCTATTACTGGCAGACACCAAACACCAAAAAATTGCGTTATCCCTTTATAAAATCCTGCGGTGCGCTCGCGGATCTATTACTAATCTACTAGTAGAGTGGGTCACAAAATATTGATCTCGATCACAAAGCTGGATCAGTAATCTACTAGTTTCCGAACACGGATAGGGTTAGTAACCACTGGTAAACGAACAATAAGATCTATAATCTTTCTGATCTGAGTAAGTTTCCGAAAACGCCTATTGTTTTTACTTGATTTACTTTATTTATTTGATTTTTTATTGATGTCAGATTTATAAAGATGTATCACCTATTGGAAAATAAATGAAATTGGCTTAAAAAATCAACAATATTAATTTACGCAACACGTCAAATGTAAATCAGCACTAGAACTCTCCAAACTTAATTAGGCATTCCAACGACCTGTCAAACAATAGCTGCCCGTGGGAAGGTCTCGTATATCTAAGGGGATAGCGTCATAATATTGTATCTTGGACGCTATTTTTATTCAAAATAGTAGTCGCCAGACCTGCCAATTTATGAAAAAATGTATAAGCGGTTTTTTAAATATTTTTATTGTGTTCGTCATAAAATATTTAAATGTAATCCATTATTCATGATTTTACGTATTGCAGATAGAATCCATCGTATGTTGCAACCCTTAAATATACCAAACTTTCCCACTGGCAATTCATTTGTTTGGAATGACTCATTACATTTTGTAATACACACCACGATCTGCATTATTTCAAGCAAGAATTCTACAATAAATCATTGAATAAACAAATCTAGTAGCCTATGATCATTACCTACCGTTTGAAAATTAAACAAAAATATACTCGTCAAAACGAGTAAAGTAATAGTTTTCATTATTATTAATAACGTTTAAAAAATGGCACTGCGTATTTTTCACGAAGAAAAATTTTATATGCTGGAATGTTACATTCGTTGTAACAGAAATGCAAATCTTGCATTAGAAAGGTATCTAAAGATTTTCCTGAAAGACAACAGCCAAGTAGAAGACTTTCCTAAAATTGTTGTGAACCTTATAAACTATGGACGTTTTATATAACCGCGGCCCAAGAATTACGAAAAAGAATATAATAACGAAAAAGTGTCAAAAATGTATTAATAAAAACGGCAACATGTGATATAAGTATTAGTAAGTGTTGCGAAAATAAATTTTCTTGTTTTTTAAGTCAAGTTCTTTTATTTACCAATAAGTGATACATCAATAGCTACCTTTTAAGTATAAAATACAATATAGCGTCCATAAGAAAAAATAAACCTTGCCAAAATTGTGAACAGTAAAAAAGCTGCAACATAATTTCGAAAATGCAACTTTTTGGTTTTTTTGAAATATCTTGAAAACAAAAACAATAGAATTACGTACTAAACGGCTGTAAGTTGCAAATATATTTATATAAACATTTTCCCATTTAATCGTTTCTCTATATTTTATAGTTTTCAAGATCCCCATACATGTATGCCCAATTTGGGCCACATTACATGTTCTCGAAGGGTATAGCCTAAAAACTAAATCGTGAAAAGCGACTGAGCTTATATTAGTAGAGAAACTTTGATAATAGAGGAAAATAGTGCTTCTCATCATCTGATTAATACACGGATTCGCAATCTACATAACTTTATTATTGGATCTTTCCCTTCTAGTAAACGAGCGCCATTCTGGTGGTCATTTTCTAAAACCTTATTTACTGCTTTTGGGTGGACACTTTTGGGATAAACAACTATGTATATTATGAGTTATAGGATTGTCCTCCTTTCCTCTACACTCCATATTTGCACAGTGTATTCATAAATACCTGGTTTTAAGAAAAACAGTTTTTGGCTTCTCCTGTAAAATTTATATTTCTTAAAATATTAAAGGAGTTGTACATCTTTCGTATTTCACTATCGATATGCGATCTTTAGTTCGGAGCATAAACTCTCGACTATGACGCCATGAACAAACTAAAACAGTCTTCAGACCTTAAAAAAATGTAGGTAAGTACTTACCTTGTGAATCAATTCACGTAGAATTGTATGAAATCTGGAAGTCATGTTTAAATTTTGATGAGTGACAACACACTGATTTTTTTTTATTTTTCGAACACGTTATAATATTTGATGACAGATCAAAAATCAACTGGTTACTATGTAAAAAACTCTTAGAACATATATAGTCAGGAAGGATCATGCCATGTCCGCGTTAATCTAATCGATCTGATGAAAGTGGTAGCCATGTGGTACTATGACTCATCTTAGAGGGCGGAATATATGCATCAAAATATAACAAAATATGCGCATTTATATGCATCGTTTTTACCAAAAATATGCAGTTATTTTGTCCAATTATGCCTAAATATGCAAATGCATATTTGTTAAAAATACTTAAAAAAAAGTAGGGGGTGGGTAGCTCAGTGGTTAGTGCGTTGGCCTATGGACTTAGGGGTCCCGGGTTCAAATTCCAGCCGGGACGCGATTTTTTAAATTAATTAATTTATTTAAAAATTAATTCTGATGCCTAGCGAATATTTCCACTTGACCATTCACTGTTGGGTTCTAATTAACATTGCTGTTCCTAATTTGGTACGCTATCAAAGCCATAACACAAAAAAAAACAAAAGAAAATATGTAATATAAAAATTTATTTAAAACAAACGAAACACAAAAACTAGTAGAAGTTAAGTATAGAATAGTATAAAAATATTAAATAGTAATATTATAATAGGTATCTATAATTAAATATTTTTCGAAATTTTCCATTAAAAATTTTTGTCTTCTGTCAGTAAAAATATGGTTTGATATAGAAAAGGTCCTTTCAACATCTACCGAAGTAATAGGACAATACCGTAATTTTGGAAGTAATGTACAGGGCCAACGTAAAACTTCTTTGGAAAATTTTCCCTCAAAAATGTTTTTCACTTCCCTTATTTCATTGAACCCTTCATTTTTTAATAAAGTTGTATTTAATTTTTTTCTAATCTTAAGGCCTATGTCACCAGGAACATTGTTACATTTATCGGGAACTGTTGCAATAAAATTTGTTGATTCGATTAAACTTAAATTTTTCTTTTCCAATGAAGTTATTACATCAGGTAAAAAACTAAAATTAACCTTTATAAACACAAGTTGCTTAGGCACAAGGGGATTTTTTAACAATTCTTTACTTTGCACTACACATTGTGAATTGTCTTCTATATCCAAAATTAAATCCTTAATTGCTTCAAAATTTTCTGCATAGAATATAGCTGCTTTAATCCATGTCCCCCATCGCGTAATTACGGGTTCCGGGGGCAAACACACCCCTACCATTCTCTCTTTATACAACTGCACTCTTAAAGGGGCTTTTAAAAATATTTTTTTCACATTCGAAATTAGCTTGTTAACCAAGGGATATTCTGTTCTCACAGTTTCTGCAACTAAGTTTATTCCATGCAGAAGACAAGTAACGTAGACCATATTTGGATAAATATTTTTAAGTTTTGCCCTACTTTTATCATATATGGTGCTGCGTCAGACAAAAACACTAAGAACTTCTCTGAGGGAATTTGATTTGGTAAAAAAAATTCTGCTAGAGATTGTTGAATAAATCGGGTAACAGTTGTATTGTTAGTTTTTTCTAACTGTTTTGATGCAATTAAATATGATGTACCTGGTTCATTTTCTTTTAAGGCTCCAATCATAAGATGTACCATATATCTTCCACAAGCATCTGTGCTTTCATCAACAATGATGTAAAAATTGCTATCATCCAGTAAAACTTTAATTTCTTCTATTACATTTATATATATAGCATGTACATTTTTTTTCTGAGTGTAGATTCGTCAAGAATGGTTTGATTGCAATATTTTTGTAAAAATTCTCTTAGATGTAGGTTTTGTAACTTCTTTAATGGAATATTTGCCGCAACAAGAGCTTTGCACAAGTCCTGATTAAATACCTCCTTGTCACTTTTTGTTTTGTCGGCGTTTTGAAATGACCTCACAACACATTGTTGAACCGGTTGTGATTTCATTTTTTGCAATTTGGCTTTATGCAATGATGTTTTCACGTGTTGAACCACTTTGAACTTTTTTTCGCAAACCACTATTTTGGCACAAGCTTTACAAAAAACTTTATCCCCATTGATTTCCAACTCTGGAAAGTTAATAATCCACGAAGAAATTCTCGATATTTTAGGACACTTTTAAAACAACAAATTATTACAAGACTTTTCACTAGGCAAATAACGAGGATACTATCTCATTAAACTGAATGAAAAACATTCAAAATATTCCGATGTTAGGGTAGATTGGTTACAAGAAATTACTGAGAATTTTATATAAACCGTTTTATTGCATTGTAGGTGTTTAAGACATCTGTTTTGAAGGCATCCCTTCAAAGGCGGGAGTATGTTTAAGACATTCATTGCAGATAAACACATACAATAAATATATCTTACGCTCGGCAACGGTGTCAACAGTGTGTGACGCGACACTGCGCCAGCCAATAAGAAGAGACGGTCCAAGAACCCTGCGCGGCGCGATGGATGTGCCGTCCGAACAAGAACGCGGGATTATATTGATTGATATTGACTATTTGACTTTTGCAACGCTCTGTTTTTTTTTTACGTTTATTTGGCTAATTATTTGTAATTGTTCTATTAAAATAAAGATTAGAATCAGTGAAACATACAGTCCATAATTACATCAATTTCAACGATTTATCATTGGTCCATCTCACCGAGATATTGTGTAGTTTCAATTACATCAACTGGAAGAAGAACGTGACGATTTTTGCCTATTCGCCATTTTTGCTGTGTGTGGTGTTCCTACAGACGCCGACAGTAATTTGCATCAACAAACAGGTCGGTTCGTTCCTTTATTCCATTTATAACAATTTGTGGCTTTTACCATTTATGAAAGGCATTGCAAGCATACGATTTAAATAATAAATTAACTTGCTAGTTATTTTTTTAATCGTGATACATTGTGATAAATTGATCACCTATTTATTTTTTGAATTTTGTTAAGTTACAATTTAAAAAGCACCAATTTATGTGCTGAAGTGTCTTACTACTACTATTTAAATTCCTAAGTGCCAATTTATGTACAGGGGTTAAGCGATTTCAAACAATTTTGCGATTTAAAATTAGGTATATATATAAAAAAAATATATAAAAATTACGATTTTTGTTTTGTTCTTTCGGATTTATGTGAGAAGGAAGCTTAATCCGAAGTTCTTTATCTTAAATTGATAATTGATTTTCTATTTCTTACAAAAATTAGCTCTATTTCTTACAAAAATTAGCTACTCTACTTACTCTACTCTATTTAAAATGACTCTTAAACAATTGATAAAAAACCGAGATTCTATGAAAGAAGATTTAGTTACTTTAAAGCAATTTTCTGATAATTTGTATACAAATAAACCAAATATTGTAGAAGTACAATATCGAATTGAAGTTTACAAAGATGAACTTGAAGAGTTTAAAAATTTACAAAAAGGTATTGAAGAGAAATGCCCCGATGACGACGTAGAAGGGCAGTATAAAATTCGTAAAGAATATATAAATCAGTTTTGTGAGGTTATGGGTGCCTTAAAAAGTTATGTACAAGAAAATACAAGTGTTAATACTAATATAATTTCTCCTATTAATACTCAAACTGTAGTTACTCAAAGTCCAGATACTCTTCAAAATAACTTTCTTCCAAAAATAAAATTAACTAGTTTTAAAGGCGATTATGATAGCTGGCTTACGTTTAAAACTAATTTTCTTTCCATTGTGCATAATAAAAGATCAATAAATACAGCAAATAAATACAATTTTTTGAGAACTTCATTAGATGGCTATGCCAGACAAGTAATAGACGGTATTGACTTCGTGGAAGATCAGTATGAAGTAGCTTGGAGCACTTTATGCAAACGATTTGATAAAAAACGAATTTTAGCAAATAACCATGTAAAGGCAATTTTTAGAACTGAATCTATTCAAAAAGGTTCTGCGGATGCATACCGTATGTTACTCGATGAAACTTCATCCCACCTAGCAGCTTTAAAAAATTTAAAATTAAGCCCAGAAGAGAGTTCTGATATTTATTTAATCTATTTAATAAACTCTAAGTTAGATAGCAGCATGCAAAAAAGTGGGAAGAGCATCAGCCTAAAGGAGAATTGCCAACTCTGGAGGAATTCGTAGAATTTCTTGAAAAAAAGGCAGATGCTCTTGAAAATTGGCAGAAAAATAATCAAAGTAAATCTGTGAGCCCCAGAGAAGGTCATCAGGCCACTAATAAAAATCAATATTATAATAAACCATTTCAAAATAAACAAAAACAATTTGCAGTAAATTTACAAGTATCATTAAAATGTAATATGTGTAAAAAACAACATTTAATTTACAATTGTGAAGAATTTTTAAGATTAAATCCAAAAGCTAGACATGAAAAAATTATACAATTACAGTTATGTGAAAATTGCTTGAAAACCGGGCATAAAAAAGAAACGTGTATACGAGGGCCATGCAGAAAGTGCTACAAGCGGCATAATACAATGTTGCATATTGATACTTCACAGGTCAATTTTATAGCTGAAAATAAATCAAATACTGAACCTTCTACCAGTAACATTTGCGAAGTAAATTTATTTAACAATTCATACCAAAATGAGGTGCTTCTGTCTACGGTGGTTTTAAATGTTAAAAAGGCAAATGGAGAAAAAATCCCCTGTCGTGCACTTTTGAACAGTGGTGCGCAGTCATCTTTGATAACACAAAAACTGTGCAACGAGCTCCAATTACCTACTTCCCCCACCAACATGTCTATTGTGGGTTTTAATCAAGTTACCTCTGCTTTAAAGAAAAAGTGTAATATTTCAATTTTTTCCAAATCATGCAATTTTAATACTAATATTTCTTGTTATTTAGTACCTACTATTTCCATAAATTTGCCTACTCAAAAGGTTTGCTTAGACCATTTAAATATTCCACAAAATATAACGTTAGCTGATCCTCAATTTAATGAACCTCAGTCAATAGATCTCCTAATAGGATCACAATTATTTTGGGACTTGATCTTAGA